CAAATCTCTCTAGGCATATATGAGCCTTCCAATTGACTGAATGACTAACTCCAATTTCAACATTGTTTATTATTACTACTCAACTCCTTGGCGCTACAGACCAATGTGGTCCTTGGACTCCTCAACAAGTCATCGCCAGATAGTTCGGTCTTGTGCCGCTGCTCGCCAATTGGAGATGTTGGCAGATGGCAACAGTATCCTCACATCTGAGACGAGATCTTCCTCTTTTTTTTACTACTCACAAAGTAACGAACACCAGTGATGACTACGATTTAATGATTGTAATAATAAGGCTTAGAGAATCTAAAGGTTTGATGCTGATTTCATCGCTGCTTCAAACTAACTCTCACTCAAAAGGGTTGAAAAACTCCCAACAGGTCCTTTTCACATGAGGTCAGGGGACTCAGACAGTTCATCTGTCTTGCTCATTGTGTCCTTAACTCAGAAATACAATTTTTTTTTTTTTACTACTCAAAGTAACGAACACCCCTGATGACAACGATTTAATAATAATAAGGATTAGCTAACCCAAATGTTTGATGCCGATTTTATCACTGCTTTCGATTTATGCTCACTATTTTTTTATATCAGGGTTAGTTGTGAAATGGTTCATTATTTCAAATAAAAAAATTAAAGGTACTTTAGAGGAAGATATATCAGTATTTAGGCTTATTATAAATTATCAATAATTAGCCATTTGAGCCTTGTTAAAAAACATCAATGAAAATAAAACCTACATTATATTGAAAACAGCTTAATTTAACACTGATATGATGAATTTAATCAAAATCATTATAGCAGTTTTTGAGAAAATCATAAAATTGATTATATATAGTGCCACTTCCGGTTAGCCAATTTTGACGAAAAAGTTTCCATAACATACCAGGTATATGCAAACTTTGAATACGCAAATTCACTTAACATACAACTTTTCGTTTTTGAGCTACTGTTCACACACTCACATACAGACCATTTTGTGGGACTTGGTTATTTGGACTCAGGAGACCTCAAAATATATGTTTATGTTGAAAACTCAGATTCAAACATTTTCATTATCGCAATAATTTCTCTTATTATTTTTTTCATACATAGGTAAGTGAAAGTAAGAATAGCAAATAATCCATAATTTTATAAATAACTGAACTTAGCATATGTTTGCTGCTTAAAAGTCCTCTTAAAATATTTTTGATAAAGACAAATTCTTCTTGTATTTAAAGAAAATTTTGTTTAATTTTCTATGAGGAAATTGGTAATAACATAAGTTGAACCATTTCCTATTTAATAAAAAAACTTACTGAAAAACACATTTAAATTTCTTGCTTTTCTGTGTGGAATCAGACTATTGTCAATCTAATCTGTTTTTATAGCACTTAAGGTCTTCTATCACCTATCTAAATTTCTCTATTACTTAAGGACACCCTGTATACATATTCTGAATAGGGTATTATCAGAGTTCATGCAGATTAATCACTCCACAGTTTTATGTTCAACGTTTTCTTGACCATGAAGAGCACCCTTCTTATAAAGAAATATTGTCAGGGTATCTACCAGACCTGGAATACATAGATAAGTCAGTAAATTTTATGAAAAACGCTAAAAGTCAGGGAATTTCATAAAAAGAAGAAAAGTCAATTTTATTTGGCGGCATAAAAGTTCCTTAAGAATTATAATAATGAACATCAGAAGTGTCATTTATCTGGTGTAAAATGGCAAAAAATAATTAAATTGCAGAGTAATGTAATCTTAGAATTAATATAAAGAATAAGCATAAATCAACAAATAAAATTATAGATAACTAATTTATTTAATATTTAATAAGTTACTGTCAATATAGAAGCTGAGACTTTTTTAAAAAGGTTTATTTTACAAATTTACAAGTAAATAAAACATAAAAAGTCTAAATAACAATATCAGAAAGAAGAGTGGCATGGAGACGGGCTCTAATCAGACTGAGATCAAATTACAATATTTTCCAAAAGATATATAGGAAAGAAGAGTCTAATTCTAGGAAGGTAGATGCAAGGGTTAACAGTTCACTGGCTTGGCTAGTGTTCCCACGAGCTCATTCTTAGAATCAACATTACAATGATAAAATTTTATATGGAATAAAGGAAAATATAACACAAACACACACACACACACACACACACACATATATATATATATATATATATACCTTGTGCGGGCTCATTACCGCGTATGGGGAGCGTCCCAAGGGTGGCAGATGTGGGGATGGTCGATGCAAATTCCTTAGAAGTTCCTTCCGGCTAAGTCCGATGTACTCGCTGACCAATAATGAGAGGGGCTCTCCAGACTTGCTGGAGGGAGATGACCTCCAGACTTGCTGGAGGGAGAGGACCTCCAGACTTGCTGGAGGGAGAGGACCTCCAGACTTGCTGGAGGGAGAGGACCTCCAGACTTGCTGGAGGCAGGGGCCCACCAGACTTGCTGAAGGGTATGACGTAGGATTGAACGCCCTGCTCACATATCTTTAGTTCACCATACACCACAAATAGTCATGGATCTCCCTAAGTTAAAATGCTCATTATCCGGAAGTAAACTAGGCCCCCGTTCGGGTCTCCGGGTGGGGACTGCTTTAGGAGATTCATGGCGCAAGTTGAAAAATAGGGATTTAAATATTGGTACGTGGAACGTAAGGAGTTTAAACACAGCAGGGGGATTAAAATCGGTCACGAATGAAGTTAATGAGTACAATTTGGATGTTGTGGCTCTGCAAGATGTCGCTGGCCAGGGGAGGGCTCGATGAGGGAAGGAAAGTACACTATTTTGTATGGAGGAATCGGGAATAATTGTTTAGCTACCAGGTTTCTAATTAGGAATAGATTGCTATCCGCTTTAAGGGACGTACAATTCTTTAGTGATAGAATTCTATCACATTCTAGAATATTTCAGGGACGTTTGTTTAAAATCGCATTAATAAACATACATTGTCCAACCGAAGACAACGGCGATGAAGTCAAATGTGAATTTTACTATAAACTCGAATGGGTTTATGATAAACTACCGCGAAACTCCATGAAAATAATTGTAGCTGATGTGATCGCAAAGGTGAGAAGGAAAGAAGTTTATGTTCCGACGATTGGTAAAGAAAGATGATATTGGGATCCGTCTCTACGCACAACTTGTCAATATCCTCGTGGTCCTCGTCAGAAAGCTCTAAAGCTTCAAATCTATTCTTAACATCTAGCTCGAATTGGGTTCTAATTGATGGATTTTTTAATTTTTCCAAATTAAAATTCTCAAAATCGTAACGGTTTTCTTTTCTCTTTTTTATATTAACTTTTTGTCGAAGTTTCATAAAAAGTATTAATAATTCATAATCTGACCCACATTCTGCTCCGCGATAAGACTGTACATTTACTATACTGTTTTGCCAGCTATGTTCTATCAAGACATGATCAATTTGTTTTCGTGTTTGCGAATCCGGTGATGTCCAAGTATATCAATCAGTTCTATGAGAAGGAATATAAAGGTTTGTGGGATGGAATTTCGTAGTTAAAGGATGGATAAAGGAACAAGGATTAAACAAATCAAGAAGTAAAGAACATTTGTTGGTTGTAAAGGTTCATAAAACAAACACACCTAGGAAATACCGAAGGAAAACTGGATAGAGCCACTTGAATTCAACATACCAATTGCAGACGTGGAAGCACCTTTTGGGGACTCTAAAGATGACTCCTGATAATTCTATAATATTTTCACATTTTAATTAAAATTCATTTAATGAGGACAGAACTTGGTATAATAATACCTCTATTTTCGTCAAGTCACATAATCTTTGAGTTTTAACCAACTAATTTCTTCTGGCCTATTACATAATATAGATTATTTCCTTTCCTTCTTCATGTTTTCTTGTTTCAATTTAAGATAATTTATTTTTACTTTCCTTAACTTAAATATGTATTGTATAATAGAAAGGGAAAGTATTGCGATTGTGAAAATTTTGGAATTTGATTTTTTAATGGAAATACACGTTTTGAAATCCCTGAGTCCAAATAAACAAAATGTTTAAAATTTATGATATAAAGTGGTAGCACTTCTGGTTAGCCGATTTTCAGGGAAAAGTTGGAACATCCCAAGCATATACCTAACTTAAATGGGTAATACCAGTTTCGTACAAATTTTGATTTTCGAGCTAGGCTAATCATTCACTCACACATGCGGTTATTTGGACTCAGGGAATTGATTTTGTATTTGTTCCATTTGGTCTGTGTTATTTTGTTAGTTATTTAAACTAATTTTTCATTATTAGAATTTAAAAAATATTATTGAATAAATTATTCAATGCTTATATTTTATAAAATATATATGAAGGCTTTTTTATTTTGTGTTAAATAATAATCTTTAGCTAATAATTTTCTTTCTCTTTGGTTATAATCATCGCTTTGATTTCTTCTTAAAATGATCTTATTTTTTTCCTCATCTATATTTATTTGTTACAATATTAATTACAATGGTTTCAAAAAATTTAGGTTTTTTATATATAAATATTTTGTAAACTTGTATCTTCCTTTTGTTATATATTTTCATCACTTTCATTCATTTAGGAATTTCAAGCTTTTACCTCATTCTTAGAATCATCTAACAAACATTATAAATAACAAAATGAATATAAAGTTCACACAATTATTAACGTAAAATTGAATGACAATAATCCATTTTGGATGATTTTGGTACAATGTTAATTTTTAAATAAAAGTGTTTCTAAAGGTCTTGAAAGATACAAAGCGGATGTGAAATATCTGCTTGAGTGGGAAGGAACAAAAATCAGCATTGTACCAAAGTCTCTCAATATGTAACATTGTCATCCCATATCATTTGGTGTTTTTAGTTGGTACTCTGCTTGTGAATTTTCTTTTAGACGCATGCATATTAAATGGACAGCTATTAAATTCTTAGTAATTTATTACTGATCAAATATTATTTTTTTCATTATAAATATTTGATTCATAATTCTGCAATTTTAAACTCATTTCCAGATGGCTGACTCAGACTTTGTTGTGGACGGTAATAAGGTTGTCGAATTTAAGCTAGGTAAATTCTTTACTTATGTATAGTTGTGTTTCTTTTCAATCTATATATTTTTAATAATTATTTTGGGGTTTCAAGAATGAACTTGCCTAAATTAACTGCCTTCTATGGATTGGTAAAATTCAGGATTTAAATTTACTTTAATTAATAATGAATTATAAAAGGTGAAGTAAAAATTAAAACAGAATATAAATGTTAAATATCTACAAAATAAATAGTATAGTCTTCCAATAAGGAAAATTGTTCCTGATAGTAGACAAATTCAGATACCTTGGCTCTTTAATAACCTCAATAAATGACCAATGAATGTTCTGAAATAGACCAGCTTATAACAAGTGCAGAGCTTTCTTCTCTCTTACAATGGTATTGAAATCCCGAAAAATCTCAGATATAGGGAGTACAATGCTATGATAAAGCCAGGTCTAATATATGGTTGTGAGACCTGAAAAATAACTTTAAATAAATTATTGAAAGATTGAGAGAAGAATCCTCTGCACGATAACTGGAACGATCAGAGATCAGAGTACTAACACATGGAGGAGTAAGACCAATATAGAGCTGCTTATTGAAACTGGTCAGTCAATATCTCATGATATGGAGGCAAGGAGGTTAAGATGGGTGGGGCAATTTGCTTGGAGCAAACTATCTGGAAGTCTTTACACGACAATGAATGACTCAATAGTAGGCAAGAGGACCACTTAGGATGCCAAAACACAGAGGGATAAGTAGAATCAACAAAGATGCAATAGAGCTGCATGCAGATAACTGGAAGAAAAATAGCCCAAGATATGTATAGAGGGAGTAGATGTTAAGGCAGCAAAAGATCTACAAGATATGTAATGCCAACAAGAAAAAAAAAGTCTTCCGATAATAATATATACATTCAGCTATTAGTAATGATATTTATAAAAAAAAGTTAAAGAAATATAAATTGAAAATCATGATGAATTATATAGTATTATATATTATACAGGTCTACTACCCAAATGCTGAGTCTGGGCATGCTTCAGCATTGACCTCCAGTCATTTCTGTTTTGTGCTGTCTTCCAGATGTGAATGTCAAGTATCCATAATGCATTGGTAGCAACATACATCTTCTATTAAATGGTAGAAACTTCAGAACTTTTTAGAACTGTCATGATTTTTACTTTTTTTTTTTTTTTTTTTTCTATATTTACTTAAAATGAAATTGTAAAACAATATTTAAATTACTGTTCTACATTTATACATTTGTTCATGAAAATAACAATATATCACTGAATATTTACCTAGCATAATTTATTCCTAATTATTTCATTATGTACCCAATACCCAAGAAGATTTAGTTAGTCTCTGATTGAGCAGAAACTAATAAGCTAAAGTTGAATAGACTCCAATCACCTTAGAAACTGTCCCTAATATCCCAACCCTCTACCTAAATGATAATTCCATCAAATTTTATTCTGCCATCAAAAACCTTGAAATCTTTGATTTAACCTTCTTTTTTTTGCTCCATAATAGGTGCACCGCGGCCTCATAAAGGCCTATTATGGATCGTCCTAAACTTAGTTAAAACAGGCCAGATGCCTTTGTGAACCTATTGATAATTGTAGGGTCAGTGATACGATCACATCCAAAGTGAAAGTATTGCAGTCTTCTGCCACATAGCCTGCCGGTGGAGGTCTCACTTACACCCAATTTGTAAATGTGCTTATTTAATTGACAGTGACCGGTATACAGTCCTGTCACACCAGCTTTGAGTGACTTGCATATCTATTCAGGGCCCCAATTGCCACTTGACTATCCGTATATATTGTTATCAATCTATTCACAATGCCCTCCTTAATGAGTGATTCAGCACAGAAATCGATGGCTAAAATCTCAGTTTGAAATACGGACGTATATCTACCTAGAGATATGAATATTCCCACATTAGGTTTATCCTTTCTCCAGATAGCAGTCCCTCATCCCTGTTCCATTAAGGAGCCGTCGGTATAACAGTTAACTCCATTACATGGTCTATATGAGTTACTCCTGCTTATGTTCAAATTATGTAGTATATCCTTATAATTATCAACTTGAAGGTCAGAGTTCATCGCAAGCACCTCATTGCTATCAATCCTATCAAAAATGATCCCATGGCCCTGAAATGTCAGGAATTTCGATCTCTTTACCAATTTATCCAATCTATAGACAGTTCTAAAAGCATGTACTTCCACCTCTAAATGCAGTGGTGTCAGGTTTAAAAAAACCTCCATTGCAGTAGTGGGAGTAGTGCTCATAGCTCCCGCCGTCATAAGGCATGCAAGACTTTGAAGCTTGTCAAGCAGCATTCTAGGTCTGCCCGCAGCTGCCTTATGCCACCATACCACAGTTTAAGAGAGGATTAAGGGTCTAATCGCAGTTCTGTATAGCCATAAGGCCATGCTGGGTTTCAGCCCCCACGATTTGGCAACAACTCTTCTGCATGCCCATAAACAGCGTATAGCCTTACCACTAATCTTTTCAATATGATTTAGCCAGTTTAACTATCTGCTTCCTCTTCAACTCCTCCATTTCCCCCTTCCTTCTTTTCTCCTGGGACATCTTTCAATGACGCCGATTTTTATTTTTCAGATATTTCTCCCACAGACCTCATATCCGCCGTGATGAAATCACAATCTAATTCTATTGGTCCAGATGGCATTCCCGTCAAATTAATTAAATTATGCCTCCCTGAAATCCTTCCGGTACTCCTTTTCATCTACAATTTTTCCCTTCAAAATTCAGTATTCCCTTCCTTGTGGAAAAAAGCCACAGTCCGTCCTTTAAATAAAAATTCTAATCCGTCTTCCCTTGAAGATTTCCAGCCAATCTCAATCCTTTTTAACCTTTCCAAACCTCTGGAGAGAATCATGCAATCCCAAGTTTCCAACTTCCTTGAACAGTCCAATCAATTTGACCTTTACCAATCTGGTTTCCGACCAGGTTACTCCACACTATCCGCCCTAATCAAAATCATTAATGATGTTCAGTCCACCATTTATGACAAAAAACTAACTATCCTTATACTCCTTGACTTTTCCATAGCCTTTGATACCATTAACCATTCCATTCTCTTTTCCAAATTAAAATCATTATCCTTTTCCCATAGTTCTATCCTGTGGTTTCAATCTTTCCTCTCCCAACGCTTACAAGCTGTCACTATCCCTAATCAACCCTTGTCTTCCTATCTTACTTTGTCCGCAGGAGTGGCCCAGGGCTCTAGCATATCTCCTCTCCTTTTTAGTTCTTATATCAATGACATCCATAAATCAATCCTTCACTGCTCCCCTCACCTTTACGCCGATGACTCCCAAATTTACCTTTCCTTCCATCCCTCAGAGTTGTATAAAGCGTTTGCCAAAATTCAAGAAGACTTGAATCGAATCAGTGCCTGGGCAAACTTAAATGGATTAAGATTAAACGCTGCTAAAAATCAAGCCATTGTCATTGGTTCCAAACCCAATGACCAACATCTCAGAGCCAATACCAACATACCTATCCTATAACTAAATGACCATCCCATTAGATTAGCTTCACCTCCTCAGTAAAAAAACCTAGGCATTTTTATAGACCAAACCCTCTCCTGGAAACACCATATTGCTCACATTTCCCGACGTTCAATTGGTACCTTGAAACTATTCCATCGCTTCTGCCATCTCCTACCCATCCCCACACTCCTAGTAACTTCCCTCATCTTCCCCCACCTTGATTACGGCTGTGTGGTGTACGGTGGCCTCTCGGCAGAACTCGGGGAGAGACTGAAAAGAATTATGAATGCCTTCGTAAGATTTGTCACAGGGACCCTGAGGTATACCCGTGTTTCGCACCACTATGCTGAATTAGAATGGCTCTTCCCTTCCTTCCGAAGACAATATTTCCTAGGCACATTCCTTTACCAAATAATCAGTAGTCATCGTCCGTCCTATACATACAATCTCCTACAATTCAAATCATCTATCCACACCCTCTCCACAAGATCTCGTCCTTCTGACCTTTACACCTCTTTCCAAAGATCTACATCATTTAAACATTCCTTCGTTGTCCGTTCTACTACATTCTGGAATACCATCCCACTAAAAATTCGCCATGTATCATCCTTATCCACCTTTAAAACCAAACCCTCTTATTCCAATTCCTCTTCACAATCCAATCAGACGCTGGTTAAATTCATACTATATTATAAGGCTTTAATTTTCTTTAGACATTATTTTTTCTCTCCTATTTTTTATTGTTTTATTCTGTGTTGAACGTGAATTTTCATCACCACTCACTAAGCATTGTGAGTAGATAAAATTTGTTTTTCTTAATTTCTAATTTTTTTATTCATGAAATTGTATTTCGGTGAAATGTATTTTATTTTCTAATCATCTTCAACACACTTCTCGCTATGTGTATATATATGTATACTTTATTATTTTATTTTTTCTTCTCCTAATCTTTATGCATAATCACTTAAATATCTTAGGGAACATATGTATATCATTTTTTTTTTTTTTTTTTTTTTTTTAAAATTTCTTTCCTTACATATTAACAGTTATTATTATTTTTTAAATTTTTATATTCCATCACTACAATGCTTTGCCTATAAAATTGATTTTGTGTTTCTCTCTAATTTCATTCAGTGATTATTATGCTATTGTTTTAGCTCCAATATTGTAGTACTGAACCCCTATTACCCAACTGTTCTCGTTAATTTATCCTAAGAGCTTAATTAATACTCAATTTATTACTAGTATTTTGTTATTATTCATTGTAATAAGTCTTTTGGCCAGATTTATGGTTAATTTATATGAACAATACTGTTATTCTAAAGGAACCTAGTCCCAGAATAAAGATGATTTTTCTATTCTATCTAAAGTAATCCCAAGATGTTTTACTTTACTACATATATTTAGTATTGTCCCATTTGATGCTGGTGGTCTTATGTTAATATTTCTTCAATTAGTGAAGATACAGAGGTTTATCTTCTGGGGGTTTATGCCAAGGCCATTTCCCTGGCA